TTAAAAAAATACAAAGTTCATTTATTTTAATTTAATAAATAAATTATTGCATTGATCAAAGAATGTGCAAAATATACTGCTATCTCCCATCTAGCACCAAAAGTATATTTTATGGAAGTATATATATATTTTATTTCTATTGCTAATGTCAAAATTTCATATTATCTAATTAATATAAATGTGTGTAATGATCTTTGAAAATCATGTGACCATGAAATTTTTATTGCATTTTTGATTGGAAATTTTTTCTCAAAATTGGCCACTGTGGCACAGAAAGTTGTGGGACTAAGTGATTTGCACTATAGACTTTTTACAGTTTTACAAAACCATAATAATAATGGCCGAATTTCTATATATAGATCAATGTATAAAATCTCAAATATCGTTTGTTAATTAGAAAGCATAATGATCAGAAAAAATTTTCTATATAGTTGGCTCGGTCTAAAGACCTCCTAAATTTTGAGCAAATTTTAAAAGTATAGAAGTCATTTTCTGTCCTACATTTTAAAAAAATAGCGTTATTAGTTGATAGAATAGGTCTTTAGTTTTAATGTAATAACAAGATATTCTCAAAAAATTCTTTGTTGTAGAGTTCTATTCTTTTTTAAAACATGTACTTCACTATGCTTGTGAGGAATTTGTCCACTAAGATCATTGCTAAATTTAGACTATTTTTTGATCATCCTTACGAAATTTAGACTAATACTCGACCATCATATCTAAATTTGGCAGTAAGGAAAATAATTTTTTAACCAAATCACGTGAATCCCTTTTTTAAAAAAATTTTATTGCACTCAATTCCATTTTCTAATGTAGATTGTGAAGAGGTTTTAGCAAACAGAATATTATCAAATGTAATGCAATGGAAAATGGCACATTGTACTTATTAATGATGATTGGTTTAGAAGGTACTGATTTATTTGGTTATGGTTTTAGTGATGCTCTTAGTAAAAAAACAAAAGAATAAAATAAGAACATTCTTAAATTTGAAAAAAATTTAGCACCCAAAAAATTTTTCTTTTTTTAGAATTTTCTTCCGGAAAATTTTTAGCATTCAAGAGAAATTTCCGTTTTTTTTTCAGACCCTATTTCCAGCCCTGTGTGTGACCCTGTGTGGCTTCCTTACGGTATTTGTGAATACAAACAGGACCGGGAAAACTCTACTCTATTGAATGTGACCGCCAACACTATGATTCGAAAGTGCCTTAAAAAATATTCGAAGAAAAAATGTTATCGGTTACACTGATTCGCAGACATTAGAAAATGTATCGTTACACTATATAATAAATAATAATATTAAAAAAATGTCACAATAAAATTAAAATTTAAAATTTAAAAATCATAATAAAAATAATAATAAAAAAATCCTTATGATTCACGCCAAAAACGTTTTACTACATACCTAACTTTCAAGAATTTGTCAATGCTAAAAAAAGTTATTTGTAAATGTGGCCAAATTATTTCACTTGGAGTCAATTATCAAGTGTTTGGGCAAAGTTATAAACGTTTTATGAAAAAGACATTCATGGGTAGAAAAGCCGGCAGGATTTTAGGTCATTTATCATATATTTTTATTAAGGCCTATCTTCCTGTATCACAACAGTATTTTTCATGTGAAAATTTGCAGGAGACATTACAATTCATATTACACCATGAGAAGTAGTTTATTTTTTTGGGAATACGTTCTTATTATATTAATCCTTTTTTGATTGCAGTAGATGGTGAAACATATTTAATTTATAATAATTTGTCAATCAAGTACACAAAACTTTTTTTTAAATATTTTTAATCAATAAAGATAATTTCATATGTCCTCGGCTATTTTGATTCGCATTATTAATAATTTTAAAATGTGTTCGGAAAATCAATTCACATAATTATAACTAAGATTCACATTAATATGATTTGTCATTTAATTTGATGGTCACATACGATAGAGTTTTCCTGGTCCTATACAAACCCTATTTGTAGAGAGCCTGCACAAAAATTTTTGTCTCATTGTACACAGTTTAAGAAGGTTGCGCACACGAATTTTATACACTGCATACAGGGTGCAATATGTCTTAATTTCCAAAGGTCAAAAAAGAAATCACAAGGATATTCACAGATATTCAATTTAAAAGAACTAATTTAATTATTAATCTTGATTTATCAACTGTTCCATTTTATTCTCTCAAGATATGACTGACTTTTTGAAAATATTATGTTCTCAAAAATAATATAAGTAATAATTACTTTTTTATGAAAATATAAAAAAATTGGGCTGAAAACATATTGTAAATAAATACAACCTAAATTTATGTGTTTGCTTTATTCAATTCAATCAATGTGAGAAATTAAAGGTTTATGATACATCTATGATTTATCATTAATTTTAACAAAGAATGAATGATATCTAATTTAACAAAAATTCATTAATATATATTATTAAAGCTCCGAACGAATCAATGAAATTCGATTCAATTTGATTTGAACTGATTCGAATATATAATTTGATTCAAACTGATTCAACTCAACTCGATTTGAACTAGTGATGGTGGCCAAAACTACACTTAGTGGGCCGAAATTGCCGAAATTAATTGGCCTAAACTTTGACGAAACTAATTTTAATGGCTGTAATTGTGAGTTTTTAAAATAAAGTAGATTGATTTAGATACTTATTATATGTATTGGACGAAATAACCTTTTTTTCAAAAACAGTTTCGGCTACCATCACTAAATAATATTCTTTATCAATTAAAAAATTTAAAATATACACAATCTTGGTTTAGCAGATAGTTTGGGTTTAGAAAATTTTTTCCAAAAATCCATTATTATTATATTCCAACCTTGTCACAGCGGACTATAAATAATAATAATAATTAAATCTTATCATAACGGATTTTTAAAATTTTTGCTTAACATATAAAAACATATAAAATTTTTCTTATTATTATGTGTCCCGTCTATCCGTTGCGACTATATCAAAAAATCCGTTATATTGAGAAGAATATTATTATTATTAACCTCAATCTGTTATTATTCATTAAATTGAGGTACACTACATTGAGATTCACTGCATTCAATATGACGTTAAGAAAATTTAGGAATGGAATCGAATCACTCTAAAGTTCGATTAGATTCGATTAATTCGGAGCCTTATATATCATAAAATTTGGTGTTTTTAAGTTAGAAGTTATATGAGATCACGGAAACCTTTTTTTTTCATATAAATAATGTTTTGTATCATTTTAGGTTATAATTTTCATAAATAACAATTTTTTAAACGAAACGTAACAGTGAGTTTCGTGAACTACAGATTAGCATTATGGCGCAATGATATTCTGGTGTCATGAAATCACAAGACATCAATCATATACACTCACCTAACGTAAAGATCCGATCATTTTAATAATTGGTAAACTTATATCTCACGCAGTTCAAAGTTTTATTAACCAAACCGGGACTGGTACATTAAGTAAACATGTTTTTAAAGTTAATTCGAATAAAAATTTAAAGTCCCGACAAGTTTGCATTATTAATGAATTTAGGATGAAAATTTTAAATTAGACAAAAAATTTCGTGATTTTATGAAAACTTTGAGCTTAGTAAAACTCTGTTGAATCATGAATTATGTCATTGGGTAAGTCCACTTAAAATATTTTGAATTATATATGGTTAAAAATTGATCAAGTATAGATAACAAAACGTAAAACCTTAAAATTTGGATTTTGTCAACTTTAAGTGCTTTATATAATAAAATTACGGGGTGTTCGGATACTTTTTTAAACCCCTTTCACGAACTAATTTATGCTGACACTCTATTGTAGATATATGTAACTCATTACGTTGAGCACGTTTTATTAATGAAGTAATATACATTACAACTAAGAAATTTGACCTATATTACATGTAAAAATTCCGATTGAAAATTTGGTTTTTTGAACTATTTGCTAAATGTTTCCATTAATAACATATCAAACACTTCGAAGCTTTTGTAATTTGGAGATTTTGATATCAAGTACAAATCTACTTAGTAAAGTAAGAAAGGTTTTATTTGAGAAAACGTTGCTTTTTTAGTAAGGACTCTTTTCATTTGACGTTACACAACTCCGGTGGTCGGATATTTATGGTAGTAGTAGGTGAGTGTGACATATCGTTCAGAGCATCAAAATTAGCATCGAATGCGAAGCATAGTTTGAATGTGCTCACATAGCATGCACATTCGTAAACTTGAATTTTATCTTGTGCCGAAATGGCCCGAGAGAAATGACTCTCTCCACGTTGGAGTTACGAAAAAAATACGGGAACAGCTGTCATATTTATATGTTTTGAATTTAATAAAAATAGACTAATGTCTTGGCCCAAATAATGTCATTTTTTTGCTAATTACGGCTTTTAATGTTTTTGTCAAAAACGTATTTCTCTAATACCCAACACAAAATTTAAACCTTAACTCCATGAACCTCCTTCGCCCTACATCAAAAAAACTTTTTTTCCCCATAGTTAACAAATCTCTTTTCTCTATGGCAAACAAAAGCTTTTTCTCAGTATTAAGCAAACGTTTATATATCGAAAAAATATACCTGAAGATGAGGAGGATATTAATGATGATTTTAAATAACTCGAAGCTCCCAAACAGATGGTATTGTTTAAGAAGTTTCGTCACCTGGAACGTGAAATTATGAGAAAAGAAATAAATGCAAAAGAAAAGGAAAAAGAAATAATTGTACTTACAAAAGATTTAGAGATATTTAGAGAGCGTATGGTGAATTTTGCTTGGAATTGCTTAACGTTGCTTTTTAACAATTAATCTCGAATCTTATTTCTTCGGGTCGGATAGAATCGGACTATTTGAGAATAAAAGGATCTGTGCATGTTAGAGGTGTTTTGGGTTAGTAAAAAATTATTTACTTCTACTATGAACATTTTATTTGTTTATCCATTTTTTTTGGATTTGTAACTGATTTCTAGAACGTTGGGAAGAAAGTGTGATGAATATTCGTGGAAACTGAAAAGAAATGTGGAAGAAATATCTTGAAAAGAATCCCAAACTATTAGAAACTTTTCAGAAATTTTGGAAGCATCGTCAAAATCAAACTACTACTATTGATGTAAATTTTGTAGCAGGAGAAATGCAGACATTATACAACTGGATGTCTGAAAGAATATATAATGTCAATGCACGAGGAGATGTCGTAGAGTGGAGTAAATCCGATTTAGGAATTGAATGGAGTCATGTGGTGGAATATATGTGTAAAGATCTTAACATTAAATATGAAGTTTCGGAAATGAAAATGAAACTGTTCCATGAAATTTCTAACGACAAATAATCTTCAAAAATGAAAAAAAATTTCGAATACTATATGTTTGAGTTGATTTAGAAAACTTTTATAGAAAGAGAAAATGCAATTGTATTAAAGTCAACAAGTCCATTGTTGAACATGGAATTTTAATAAAACTTCATTTTTAAGCTTGTTAATATTAATTAATTGTTGGTTATCTTTCAATTAATCAAAGACTTTTTTCTACATTGTCAATCGGTAAACAAACAATATGTACAAATGTTTGATTTTTGATCATTAGAAGGATTCTTTCAGATAAATTTTTTTTTTGATTTTGACCATTTAGGAGGATGGTGGATGACTGGATAAGAAAAAATTTTCCTTTCGGATAAAATCCATCGAAAAATTTCCTTTTGGAGAAATCCGATTGATCTTTGATATGGCAAACACTCTTAAGAAAAAAACAATTGAAATTCGCTTGATGCTTATCCTTAGACTTGAAAAAAAACACCCGAATGATCTTTAATCTGGGATAAATGAACAAACGTTAGGAAAAGCCCTTTTTTTTTTTACTAATCATTATTCTTTTTACTTTTAATCAAAAAGAAAAGGGCTTGGTTGATTGTTTTAACAATCAAAATTTGTAAAATAAATTTTTTTCCAATTGATCCATCCGATTGACCTTTGTTCTGCAATGAATAAATGAATGAATGAATAAATAAACGGGAATTACCCAAGACCAGAACGTTTACTAAGCATTAAAAACAATTATTTGTTTGAGCGAAGGAATAAGAACAGGTAACAAAATTTTAACCCAAGCAATTGTTGATTGACCAATCAAGATCGTGAATTTGATAACGTAAAAAATAAATAAATGTTGGTTTGATTCATTTTGCTAACAATCACTTCACCGACAGTTGTTTTGTTAACAAATGGTTCGAATTTAAGATATTGGAAGCAACCATGCGGACAAACCTTTGAAATAGTCTAACAAATTAAATTGTACTACTCGAAAATGTATTTAAAGGGTTGGTTTTCGACTTGGTTGAAGAATAACACTCTTCCTAACCCTTCTCTTGACCATATCTCTCGATATAATCAAAATAACCTTAATATAATAAGATATACGATTAAGACAAAACATGAACGATGTATGAAAAAATCATTAATAAAAACAAAATTACAACCCAAAAAATTTTTTTTGCATGTCCTAATAAAATTTTCCATTGTTGATGTTGCATCATTTATTGCTGATTCAACATTACCAAATCATCAACTGTATTTCGATATTTTCGATAAACTCATTTTAGTTTAATCTTTTGGACATACTTTCTTTTAATGCGTTGACATTTTTTTTGATTTCGACTTGAAGATAGTCCAAGATATCAAACATTTAGATCGGCACCTTTGTAGACAATGATTGTGATAACCATGTCCACACGTGAGTATATACACTATAATTATTCAAATTAGTATATTTAGTATAGTTAGTGTAATCACAATATACGTATTTGCAAAAAATGTTGGTAAATGGTTTCCTAGAAGTAACAAAGCCTCTTGGAAGGTGACGATTGGTTATTCTGTAACTAAAGAATGCAATTAACACCACAATTAGATGAAGTTTTAGTAATCAAAGGATACTGATTTCGTGCTTGATATAGTGGCAGTACTTACCGAACCTAAATAGAATGCAAGGTCGAACTTAAAAGAATTAATTTTTGTATTATTTAATGAAGCAAGAAGATAACATATGAACACCATTAATCTCTTCATATGGTCCATTTTTTGTTCATTACGTTCAAATGACCGCGGTGTTAAATAAACTTGGTCAAAAAACCCCTTCAAGCTTGATTCGTATTTCATCAAAATTGTAGGAACTTCTTTATTTGAACATTCTCTTTCATAAAAGATTTTGGTCATCATCTTTATGTTTGTTTATCAACGTTTTCAGTTGTTATATTTTATCTTTTTTTTTTTTTAATTTTATTTCATGCTTGCTTATTAACGTTTTCAGTTGAAGCCTTTTTATCGTTGATATTAGTAGCGCCAACATCTAATCATTATAATCAGGATCTTTTATCAATTCTATCTCTCTTCCGTTATTGCTGTTGATAAATGGAAGAAGACAATATCAAACGTGCTTGTGAAGAGAAAGTTGATAAGGAAGAAGATAATGCCAAAGATATCCATGGAGAATTTGTTGTGGTCAATGATAACCTGATTCTATACTCTTCAATCTTTTAGTGATGGAGGCAACTTTTGTATTTTTTATTTGTGCTGTTATATGATTATTATGATAAATTCCTTGGGTTTAAGAATTCCAATTTGTGACAATAGCTTCTCGCTTCTCACCAACATACAAACCTTCAGAATCATGAAACGTGATACTTTTGCTCGTGTAATCTGCTATTGATATCTCCATGTCTTTTTACAACATATATTGTATTATTTATTTGAAAAAAAAATCGAGACAAATGTTTTTTTACATGAATTTACTCCCTTTTTAAAGCTGAATTGAATGGTGATGATTTTTTAACATATGGATCACATAATATTTCAAATTTTAACTTTTGTATAGATGATGATCTGCACTATAATAATTTTTACATCTGTGTTTCTTAATTATGTTAATTTGATAAAATTATTCTGAGATTAACTTTATTCATATATAAAAGCTACATTATGCTGTGGCACTAAATATTTCACGTATTAAATAATAAACCTAGATTTCGTATATAACAACTTTCCCTAATACTAAGCCAATTTATTGGATTTGTTATTATTTTTTTAAATGCGAAATAAATAAATTTTTTAAGATAAATATCTTTGAAATGTCTAATATTTCATCCTTGGAAAATATTACATACTTGTTTAAAAACCTTAACATTAATAATGCTTCACCTTTAAAATATATTAATAAGCTAGTAAATGATTTTTCAAATTTGTTGGACAATTCAGATTATTATGATACAGAAATTAAAGTTGGAGTGGAAGATGATAATAAAATTTTTAAAGCTCATTCCACCATCTTAAAAGCAAGGTCTTTGTATTTTAGAACAGCTTTATCTAAAAATTGGGTTAAAAAGTCTGATGATGGCAATATTTTGTTTGAAAAAGAAAATATTTCTCCAAGAGTTTTTGAAGTACTTTTAATGTAGGAATAAATTAAAATTAAATTAAATTATAATTATTAAATAATAATAACATTTATATACTAATCATTATTTTTTTCTATTTATTTATTTTTAAAAGGTATATGTATAATGGGATTATTAATCTTGATAGCCTGGATGCATATGAAATCTTAGAACTTATTGAAGCATGTGATGAATTAAACTTTAATGAATTAATTGATGATTTACAAAATTATTTAATCAATGAAAAAAATGAATGGCTTCATCAAAAATTAATTTATGTTCATAATATTTCATCTAAACATCAATTTTTCACCTTACTTCAAGATTTTTGTAATAAATTAATTTGTAAAAATCCAGCATCAATTTTAAAATCTAATGATATTGCAGCAATTGAAAAATCTATGCTTGTTTCTATATTGAAAAAGGATAAATTAAAATTAGATGAGGTTGATGTTTGGAATTATGTCATTCAATGGGATTGGACAAAATCAAACATTAGGAAAAATTATTTCAATGTGGAGCAATGATGATTTTGAAGAATTAAGATATTTATTAGAAGATGTTATTCCATTGGTTAGATTCAGTGAGATATCTAAAGAAGATTTTCTTAATAAAATCATTCCATATAAAAAGGCTTTTGATGAAAAATTATACAAAGAAATTCATGGATATTATTTTACTAAAAAGTGGCAGCCAAAGTTACTTCTTCAAAGAGGTCCAAGAACAAAAAAATTATTAAATTTGAAAATGAGCCCTTTAATTTCTAGCTGGATTAATCAAAATAATGAAAATAATATTCCATATGATTTTGAATTGATCCTTTGTGGATCTCAAGATGGCTTTTCAAGAGCAGTTTTTGAGGAGATGTGCTATAACATTGAACAAACCGTAGTATTACTTAAAATTAAAGAAACGGGTGAATTGATAGGTGGATATAATCCTGTTTGTTGGAATATAAACAAAAAAGCACCAAATGAAAGGTATTTTATTGAAACAGATAAAAGTTTTATTTTTAAGATTGATGAAAATCAACTTGGTAATTCAATATTAAGTAGAGTCAAAAATCCTGGGCATGCAATATTTCATAGTAGACAAACCATTGATAGGGATTTAGACAATATAAAATTTTATGAAAATTCTATAAGTTTTCATGATTTACACCTATTCATTAGTATTAATAATCAACCTTATTGTTATTATTATTTTTCTAATTATTCTTATGAAAATAATTTAAATCTTAGGAATAGTAATAAGGATGTTCATTTATTGGAAGAATTTGAAGTATATAAAATAGTAAAGAAAAATTAATGATTTTTATATTTTAATTTCTGCAATTAAATTTTAATATATATAAAAGGTTATTGTAATTATGTCTGATTCAATTGGTTCAGGAACTGTTCACCAAATTTAACTTGGCCAATTTAAACTTAAAATAAATAATCATTATTGCTCTGCCATTAAAATATATTATATAGTAAGCTTTTAAATGATTAGATTAAAAATCTGATGATATATTTAGTTATTGTCAATTTTTACATAAAAGTCTATTCATCACTGAATTGTGTAAAACTCATTGTTCCGCGGCACAAAGCACAAAGGTGATTGAAATTTTATTATAGGAATGCTGACAATTTCTTATATTATTTCCTCTACATAGTAAATGATTGATATATAGTAAACTATTTAAAATAAAAAGACCAAAAAAGAGGTGAGCTTAATATGAACTCATATTTTTGGATTAATTATACATTTATTATATGTATGTTTTTTGGATAATTAAAAGGCTGCTAATGGTACAACGGGTTAAAAGTTGCAAAATTGCTTTGTTGCAGCATGTCACATATGTTATTTATTATACAAAAGAATAATGAGATCTTTGACATGATTTAATGTATGGATTCAAGCATTTTG